GATGGATTGTCGGAGCATTACGGCATCGTAGGCAGGAGCCTCGCGGAGTGATACGTACTGTGCTTCAACATAATATTACCGTATTGTGTGTGTATAACCTCTTTAAGTTTTGTGGATATTATACATGGTTATGCTGAGGATATGTCGACCAGTTTCCACTGGAAATGCCTTTTGGTTAAACTGTCAGTGAGGAATTTGCATTTGCACTGTTACATTTTTATATAACTTTAATGCAGATAAAACAGCTGCTTGTTTAAGTGAAAATACATTGATGGGTTATTTTTGCACTAATTAAGTTGTGGAGTTGTAAAGTATTTTGTCTAGTGTCAATTATATCGTCAGTTATATCGTTATCACAAATTTTCAAATGTATATCGTGATAAATATTTTTGGTCATATCGCCCTGCTCTAGCTGCCACACGGCCCAGTATAAAATAAATACAAAATTATTTTGAACTGCAAACGATGCAAAGCTGCAGTGGTTCAGTCTAACAGCAAAAAAATAAATACAAAGTCAGAAATGTGCAGGAAAGGTTGAACTTGCAGACTTTCTCCATGTTACAGTGTATCTGTGTGGAATGACACAAAATATAGAAATTTAAGCAGTATTTATTTCTGTTGTGTGTTTCCAGGACAACCAGGAGAGAAGGGTGATAAGGGATCTCCAGGTGTGGGTGTACAAGGACCCAGAGGACCTCCAGGACCACCTGGTAACTTGTTTTCCTGCTAAGCCTTTCTGAACCATCCAGTGATGCAGTGAAGAAAGTCCAGAACATGATGGTCTGATTAGTAAAAGAAAAAATGTTTCACATGTTTCATTAAGATGTTGTAAAATCAACAGAATTCAACAGAAAATATAAATTTTTATCAAATGTCTTAACTGACATGGTAGGATAGATTATTATTATTAGTGTTAGTACTCGTGTTGTTGTTGTTTTTCTGAACTGAACCAAAAAATGTGAACAAATTGTCTCTAAAATTAAATAGTTGATATAATTTTTTCTATAGTTTTAGTTGTTGTTGAGGTGTTATTAAGTTATTTCTGAGTGCCATTTAAAAATGTCTTAAACATTTATTACCTGGAAACGTCTGGAAGTACTTTAACTACTCGACTCTGACCATAAAATCATTAAAATAATCACTTTGACAGCTGCAAAGTGTTTCTCTGTCCTCTGACTGACAGAAGGCAGCAGAAAACACAAACACATGTTGTGATAACTTTGGGCTCACAGTCGAGGTTCTTATGACTGATGTTTTCTAAACTCTTCATCCTCTTCCTCCCAGGTCCCCAGGGACAGGGCAGACCAGGTAGCTCGGGACCCTCAGGACGACCTGGAAATCCCGGAGTACCCGGTCGGCCCGGAGCCCCCGGACCCATCGGCACCCAGGGGCCTCCGGGTTACTGTGATCAGAACTCCTGTGTGGGCTACAATGTTGGAGGTACGTAGTCTCAGAAATATGAGGAAAGTATGATCCACCAGTGTTATCAAGACTCTAATTGTTGTAGTTTTTAATCGTGCTGCTTTCTCTGGAGTTTTTCATCAAAGAAAAATACTGAGCTCTGCAGCTCTTTGCTCTGCAGCTCTTTGCTCTGCAGCTCTTATTATCAACCACATGATTAAAGCAGCAGCCTCCACTGTGACTGTTGTGTAATTACAGCCACAGACTGAAGAGGCTGTAATGAGACAAACCTGCATGTTTGTTCAAATATGTGAACAGAAGAAACTTTTTAACTGAGCATGAAAACATTTCACTGCTGATCGTATTTGGACTGAAGTCATGAAGACAGATGTTCAGTTCTTGTGGTTCATTTTCACACTGAGTTAAACAGAGTGCATGTCACAGAAGTGGGCCTGAAACACTGCGTGTATAAAGGTTCATTTACACTCTGGAGCCCTGCTTTTAAGATTTTTAATTTAAGAAAAAAGTGAAGTCCGGCCACAAGGTGGCGCTAAACATGTTCTAAGAACTTTAGACACTTATTTCTTAATTCCACCTTAACAATCAGTCTGTGAGAGCAGCCTTCATGGTGTAAATGAGCCTTTATACATTTAGTGCTTCACATCAAGTCATCCACCCACACTCAGTGTATCTGAAGGTGAAGCACGTCCAGATACACTCACAGCTAAGATGCAGGATTCAGTTTCACAAACAGCAGTGTGTGTGTTGAAGTTAAAAAACACATAAATTCATCTTCAGTGTGTGATTTTAAAATTTTGTACAATTTCAAATCAGAAAACAGACTCAATGGAACGACAGAGATAATGTCTTTATTTAGCCTCAAAGTGGTCGTGCTACGGACTTTAAAGGCTCATTTCACCCAAAATAATCAACTCTAAGCAGAATTTGTTGAGTTTCTTTCCGAACATTTGAGACAAAACAGCTGAGTTTTTAAAGTTTATTTATTCTGCTGCTTCTTATTTAAAATATCACACACAGACTTTTACAGTGGTAGATTTTTCTGTTGATGCTAAAGACAATCAAAATGAGGTTCAGTTTCTTGAACTGAGAGTAGATGTTGAGGAAAGATGCTGATTATTTGACTTCAAAGTGAAAAATAAAAGAACAGAATATTTTATTGTGGTTAAAACTCATTTAAACGACAGATCTTTGAACATCAGCTCTGGAAGGAAGTAGAAAGAGAAACGCTCAATGACATGTTTTCAAAAACAACATGTTTTATTCCACACGTGTCATAAACTCTGCATCTTAACATCTCAGTTGGTGCTAAATCACTGCAGTGAGTGTGGGTTTAATCTGTCATGGAAAGATGCTCCATGCAGGGTTTTCTAATGCATGCATTAGTTATTAAATGTCTCCATACAAACATACAAAATCCACATGAAAGTTGCAGGTGATGAAGCAGCACTGCAGGCAGATGTTACCTTCCAGCATCAGTCTGTTCTCCCTCCTGCTGCAGGCAAAGACCCAGGAGGCGTTTATATCTGAGCAGCTTCACAGCTGATCCCTCACATGCATCCTGATCACTGTTAGTTTGCACCAATCACAAGTCAGCAAACATGTTTTTGAGAGGCTAAAGAAAACCCTGCAGGAGTCATCTTCAGCATGTTCTGTGCATGTTGGTGCTACATCACCGATGTGTTTGAGGTTAAAGGTCACACAGTGGCCTAAACGGAGCTGTGCAGCTTGCAGTCTGCAGGGTGGTCATGTGAGTAATGTCTGCATGTTGTAATCACGCTTCTGTCTCTGTGTTTGTGTCTCCACATCTCTGTCGTCACCTTCTTTTATCCCCCATAATAACCCACAACAGAATATTACTGAGACGTTCACAAATAATCAAACAGGGCTGTGCAATTCATGTGTTTTGTCTCGAGCTATAAATCCAGTGCACCCTTTTTCCTTCCCAGTGTCCACTTTCACCCCCTCTCTAAAACCTTAAATCCCTGACAGTCAGTGGCAGGTTTAATGTAGCACCATCAGAATTATTGCTATGATCCAAACAACCCCACATGTTAGACCACATGTGACTTCAACCATGATGTGGCTTCAGTTAAGTTTGCATACACTCATGATGGGCGGGAATGTCGTAGTACCTTTTTAGGATTTCTTTGAACTCTTCTTTTTCCAGGCTGGAATGATTGTAAAGCTTAAATCTTTAATGACTTATGGATCTGGGTCAAAAGTATGCAAACACCCAAATTGATATTTGGTTAAATATACCTTCAGGCAAGCTGCACCTCAACCAGATGCTTTTGTTAGCCATCAACAAGCTACTGGCATAATTCTGACCTGAGGATGGACCAATCATCCAGGAAGAATTGGGAGAGATCATTTAAATTTGTTGGTTTCCTGGCAGACATTCCTGATCTGTCTGCGACTCACAGGACGTTGACCATAATCATAACATTTTAGAGATATATTGCTCCCAGTATTACACAGATATGAATTACTTGGATTATATATCATCATCTGAGCTGATCATCAGCAGATGTAATCTTAACCACATCAAAGACCATTATCATCATTATTATTATTACTTCCTGTAGTTGTAGATCCCTAAAAGTCATACGTAGATTTGGTCCACATGAATCTAGAGTGGCTCACTGAGGTGCCGTATACAAACAGCACTACTTTATGTGATGCATTTGTTGCTTGTTTTAATTTTTTGTTGTATTTTTTAGGAGCAAGAAAAATATGGAATTATCAGTAGTTTGATAAAGAAATACTGTGAACATTGACACGGTCGTCCTCTCCTTACCTTTTCTTCTAGATTATGATCATCCAATTCCTCTTTTTTAATTCCCAGACTCCACTGACTTAATACAAACTCCTGTAACTCGTCCTAAACACTCATCTGCACGACAACTTTGAATATTTTTGCACGTTAAGTATCCAGATGCTTATCATTTGAAAGACAATATTTGAAAACACTTAAAATATGACAGTTTGAATGATCTCATACTTGGCTGGTAATACTGAGACATTTGTACAAAATGTCTCACAAAACGTAAACATCAAAGCTCAGTCTGACTTATTTAAAGCTTTTTATCCTAACGACCCTCAATATTGTCAACACTGACTTTCTAACCCAGACTCACACATCCTGACTGGGTAACCCAAACTTAAAACTCCTCACCTCATTAACTGACTCATAAACCTGACCTGGTAACCTTTGGTAACCCTTGTCTCTGTGTCTCTTGCTCCTTCCTTCTTACCCACCCCTTTGTTCTCGCTAACCCAATCAAAACCCTACAAATTGCTCCAAAACACTGCTTCCTGTGGTGGCGGGGTCGGCCATCTTTGTTTTGGGCTTTTCACTGCCTATCCGCCGGGCTGCTGGTTGGCTCATTGCCTGGTTGGTCGGCATCACAGAAGGCGAGGATGTCACTGACGGCGGCGCTGTCCCCGCAGTCCAACTACCACCCAGCGTCTTCCAGAACTACGGCGAGGTCGAGGAAGACGATCCGTACCGCTACTACCAGCCCAACTACCCGGCCCCTCGACCAGTGGCGCCTGATGATCCCGCACTGGCCCTGGGTGACGTTGAGCTGAGGTCTCCTGGCGTCTACCGCACCTCTCGGAGTGTGAAGGAGGAGGAAGAGAAAGTCGGGACGAAGAGGCGACTAAAGAGAAGCGCTGCGTGGACTAACTGAGAGGAGTTGATTCTGATTGGGCGGCTCGGAGCTGCTATGGACTAATCAACAAGTGCCTGATGTAAAGGATTTCTTATGGACATTGTAGAGGGACGGGAAGGGATACCAGTCGGGACTATTGTAACATCTATGCTACATTAAGAAAACTTTCAAAACAATTTACATTTTGTTTGTTTTTCATTTGTCAACAATATTGTTTGGAAATCGTCGGATCTTAAAGAGGGTTCATGTTTCACAGGTGAACTGTTCTCACAGACTGTATAACAAAGGTTCATGTAGCCACCGATGACGTTCCCCGCTGGTTTCTAACGTTTCGTTTTGAACGTTTGGTTTCCTGATGCTGTTTAAAGAAGCAAGGGATCAATGTGAGAAACCAGTGGAAATGGTCAAGGGGTCGTGACCTCTCACTTCATAGACACATTAAAGTACAGTAACGTGTCAAAACTGGGCAAAAATACAGCCGTCCATTATTTTTAACTGCTTCAATAAGGATCATGGGGAGGAACAGAGTCTCTCCTAGTTAACACACAGTGAGTGGTT